TATTTTGTTGGTCTTTATTTTTGTTTGATTTATGAAACTCCTAAATATCTTAAGATTGATATTTAGTGATATGGGAGCAGCTCTAGAAAATTATGATATAATTGATGAATTTATATAAATTTTATGAGAGCATCTACACTGTGTTTAGAGGTGGTAAAAAAAACTTTTTGTCATATTTATTGATGCTTTTTGAGATAAACTAAATTTTATCTTATTTAAATTTAAAGGCGAGTTTTTGATAAAATCATTGTGTACAATTAAATGTTGAGATATAAATCATCTCTCTATGCATTCTAGAAGGGCTATCACCTGTTTTTAAATATTTAAAATTGTGGGGGTGCTTAGCTAAATTTTTATTACCTATTTCATTTAGTGAAAATGAGATTTATAACTCTTGCCACTTTTGCATAAATTGAAACAGTGGAGCATATATATGATTTTCTTAAAAGAAAGAAATAGTGCGCTAATGTGCAATGCTTTATGCTATATTATTGATGTTATTAATGTGACCGTTTTTGAAGAATGTGTACACACTAAATGATGCATGTGTGGTTATTTGTTTATACGTTGTTGTAACAAAAAATGCTGAATTTTTAGACAATGTGTTTCCTTGAAAATTGAACACAAGATCGTTGCGCCATTAAGTGATTGTGACCCATTACAAGGAAATAAATCCTTTAATGATGAACTCTCTAGTGATAGTGATCCATTAAAAGAAAATTATTCTTTTAATGATGAACCTTCTCTTTTGAGAAGAAGTAAGAGGCCAAAGATAGAGAAATCTTTTGGAAATGACTTTTATACATATCTTGTTAATGATGAACCTTTAACTTATTCACAAGCTATTTCTTCCAAAGAAGCTCCTTTTTGGATTGAGGCCATACAAAACGAAATTGATTCTATCAAACAAAATAAAACTTGGATTTTAACCGATTTACCGAAAGGTTGCAAACCAATCGGATGCAAATGGATTTTTAAAAGGAAATTAAATCCGGATGGTTCAATTGATAAATACAAAGCGAGGCTTGTGGCGAAAGGTTTTTCTCAAAAACAAGATGTTGATTATTTTGATACATTTGCACCGGTAACGCGTATTTCATCTATACGAACTTTAATTGCCTTGGCTTCCATTCACAAACTTTTTATCCATCAAATGGATGTTAAAACTGCGTTTTTAAATGGTGAGCTAGAGGAAGAAATTTATATGGTGCAACCGGAGGGTCATGTAGTTATTGGTCAGGAACACAAAGTGTGTAAGTTGATCAAATCTTTATATGGTTTGAAACAAGCTCCAAAACAATGGAATGAAAAATTTGATGAAGTGTTATTAGCTCATGGTTTTACCTCACTTGAAGTAGATAAGTGTGTATACACTAAATGTGAAAATGGTGTGTGCATTATTATTTGCTTGTATGTGGATGATATGTTAATTTTTAGTAGCAACCTTGAGTTAATAAATGAGACAAAATCTTTTCTTGCTTCAAAATTTGTGATGAAAGACTTGGGGGAAGCAAAATTGATTTTGGGTATGAAAGTCATAAGGAAGGATGATGGTATTATACTATCTCAAGAGCACTATGCTGAAAAACTTCTAAAGAGGTTTGTACATTTCGATGTCACCCCCGTGAGTATCCCTTATGACTCTCATATGCATTTGAAAAAACATAGAGGTGATCCCGAGGCTCAATATGAGTATTCTCAAATTATTGGAAGTTTATTACACTTGATGAATTATACGAGGCCCGACATAGCTTATGCTGTCGGAAGATTGAGTCGATATACTCATAATCCAAGTGGGGATCATTGGACCGCGTTGAGGCGGTTACTCAAATATTTGAGAGGTACCATTAATTATGGTATATTTTATAGTGGGTTACCCGCTGTATTGGAGGGATACAGCGATGCTAACTGGGTCTCTGATTCAGATGAGATAAAATCCAACACTGGATATATATTCACCCTTGGAGGTGGTGCCATTACGTGGAAATCAACCAAACAGACTATAATTTCTAGATCCACTATGGAGTCCGAGCTTATTGCTTTGGAAGTAGCCTGTAGTGAAGCGGAGTGGTTGAAAACTTTCTTAGCAGAAATTCCGGTTGGTACAAAACCAACACCATCTGTGTCTATTCATTGTGATTGCAGAAGTGCAATAGATACTGCTAAGAAAATGTGTTATAATGGGAAGAATAGACACATTCGTTTAAGGCATAAAGTCATTAAACGATTATTGAAGAATGGAATTGTGTCCATTAATTTTGTGAGGTCACAAGGAAATTTAGCAGATCCTTTGACAAAAGCCCTAGGACGAAAATTAATAACCGAAACATCTAAGGAAATGAGACTAGTGTCACTTTGAAACGAATGGGGATGGGAACCCAAACTTGTGTGATTGGAGATCCCATGAAGCAAGTTCAAATGGGTAATAACAAGTCTTCCATTTAGTTCTGCTAGCCTAACTAAATTTGCCCAGTTCCATGATGTGAGATATAGGCTAGAAACCGCATACTTTGAGAGGATGAGCTAAAAGCTCTTAATGATTATCATAGCCCTTAATTTTAGGGTGGTGTGCAAAAGCGGTACACACTTGATGATATCACCTATATGAGTGTGATGTGGGGCCGCCTCCATGAAGCATGACAAAACTTCTAGAGCACTCATGAAAACCAAGCACGCGCATGGCCTTACGACGCACAACGGTGTAATAACGAGAAATTGTGCAAGATGTGACACGACCGTTAAGACCCTGATTTACCAATAGTAGCTTGTTGGTTTCAAGAAACTATAGGTTTCACCATAAGCTCGGTTTATTAAGACTTAATCGTCTCGGTTTGGTTTCAAGTCTACGGACACCAAACTTAAAATCTCATTCTTTTAATCCAGCAGATATTTTCTAAACTATTTTTCCAAACTCCAAAAATTATTCATTTGAAATATGTGGGGGATTGTTGGAAATATTTTGAGTATTTCAAATAAGTAAAGTATAAATTATTTTCCCATTATTTTGTAATCAACTTTAACATGTTACATTTATTCTACTTTTTGTGTTAGCCATTGAACTTAATCAATTTTATAATTATAAATTAAGAAGTGTACGTTTATTGTCAATCGTGGTGCACTACTTGTGTGTATTAAAACCAATAATTAAAACCTGCTATCATAACGGATGACGAGCTACGTTGTGGCTTTGATTATTACAATTAAAAGTATGCTGGCAGTAACGGAGTGTTCATGATCATAGTTAATAGCCACCAACGTTCGGATTTATGTGTATAAATATTGAGCTTGAGCTACCAGGTTGACATCAACATTTTACGTGTGAAATACAACATATTATCTCAAGATATATAATTTTGAGCTAAAATTAAACATCCCTTCTATTTTTACTCTGCTGGATTAATAATTTTCTACTCTCGTTGTTCTGTTACCGGCTTACGTCGAAGAGCTCGTTTTATCTTGGGGAAAGATTTTCGCTAGTCGGAAATACTTTATTGAGGACAGCGTTTACGCGACTCGAGCTATATTATTTTATAACGCTTTTTGCAGGTATATCCGGCGATTTACATCAACAAATAAGTCGTCACTTCAAGTGACAGCTCTCCTTAATCACGGTTAATCTAACCGTATTTTGGGAATTATTTTTAACCCAACAGTATTTTGGAAATTATTTATTTATTTAGCATTATTACGGAGAAAAACTCTTGAGATTGAGGGGATTTAAGAGAAAATATTGCATTCATCAGGTTTGTGTTCATTCCATTCTCCTAAACTTTTATGTTAATTATATCATATTGTTATAATCTAAAACTTTATTGTTATGATTTACTATTTGATTATACTCTTGTGCTTTATTGTCAAGTTTTATTATAGCATTATGTTTGATTCAAGAACATGGAAATTTATTGTTTATTTGAGAATTAAGGAAATTATATTTATAATTGAGAAATATGTATATTTAGAAGTAAGCCTGTAATTCTTTACTAGAAGTGATACGTTCTAAGAAGGTGTATATTTAGAAGTAAGCCTGAAGTATATTAATTAAGGAATGTTTTATTTTACTATTTCATGTTTTAAGTGTACGTATGCAAAATTTAAATAGACCACACATATTGACAAAACAAATGAAAATAGATAAAAATTATTTGTTCAATCTATTTAATTATAAAAATACAGATATAAGTTTATAAATATGATAAACTAAAACCGAAGCTTAATTTTATAATAATTAGAAATAACAAATTCCGAGTAGTAGTTATAATAATATGAATGACATAAGCTTAATTTAATTGGGTAAAAACAAATGGAGTTTGAAACCTTGTTTCTGGATTTGGATAGGTTGACATGTCAATAGAGATAGTTAATACGACCGTAGAGTCTAAATGAGCACTTATTATGCAAACTAAGGATGAGTTATTACTACTCGTGCAAACATCACTCTCTGGTGATTGGCTGCATCTCCACAAATGCTCCCCGACTTGAATTCCGCTTCGCAACTCTTATTGACCTACGTGAAGGACAAAAATCCAAAGTAATTGTCCCATATAGGACTAAAACAACGTTGAAATGCAAAAATAGGACTTCTTATCTTTTCCCCCCCAAATAGGACCAATTTAATCCTATTATGAAACATAAACAAATTCTCATCCCAATTTTACCCATACAGTTATTTTATCTACCCTAGACCAACTTTCTCTCCCAACCTCCGTACGCACCAAATTCGGATCTACTCCTAAGCTGCGCACCAAAAGCTTCTCCCCTCCGCCCCAGTAGCCGGCCGACTCTCTCTCTCTTCTTCCTTGCGCACGATCCATGGATTCCTCTCTGTACATTAGTTACGTTTCTAGTCCTATTTGTGCACATGAAACTAATTTTACTCCTATATAGGTCATTAACGCGTTAAACAAATCTTGCTTAGTGGTGTTCATTCTTATTACACTAAACCAACGTAGATAAAGAGTATACCATCACAGACATGTTGGATTACTTGGATATAAGGTGGACCGGGATACTAAGGTACTCTAAGCATTGTTCTCCACAAGATATTGTTTGTATCTGAACTTTTGAAGTATGTCAGCAAACCACAGTCCAGCCAAGTACAAAACCGAACAGAGGAACATAAAACAAAAAATTTGAACAGACGGCCCGCTTTGTGCATTTCGCATTGCGACTCAATGTACAGCGGAATCCGATATTGACTTACCGGAATCTATAGGAAAACGGGCGATTTGCCGGATCGGACCCGGCTGATATCACTACAGTAGCGGGTGGCTGGATCTTTCGCAACATCCGGACATATATAAAGTAATTAAATTTGAATCAAATTAGGGTAAATGAGTTTCTTCCGTCTTCAGCTCACTCAAGTTAAAGCTCTAACTTTCACTGTTTTTAACCCAGGCCTCTCTTCTTCGTTCAATTTTGTTATTTTCCCATAGTTTTTCTCCGTCTGGGCTTCCTTCTAGTAGTAATCTGCTGCTAAAAGGTGAGGTTTGTCTTTTTCTGAATCTTGTAATTGTACATACATTTTCACCAGAAACCATTTTGCATTCTTTACTCTTTTTCTTGAACAGTTTCTCTTATAATATGTCAATGATACGTGGATATAGATTAAATTACTCTGAACAGAAGAGGGTAAGCCTGGTTTCTGATTGACGTTATGTTTGCTCCATCCATAAACTGGAATTTGGGCATTTATTTTTTTCCATCCGGAAACAGTCTCTTCAGTACAAGGGTAAGATTGTGCACATCCGACCCCTTTGCCCCACTGGGGTAATGTTGTATTCAAATTGGAAAGTAGTGTATTGACTGTATTCCTTTCATTAGGATGTATGAATAGGGAATTCATCAATTGTAAGATTGCTTTCATCTGGCTGCTTATCATCAAACTGTGTTACTCTCTTATACCAGAGCTTCTTTGTACTCAACTGGTAATACTAATATGGAGTAGTATTTATGAAATCTGAGCTCTGAAGCGAACATTTTTGAATTATTTTCATTTGAAGTTTGAGTCAAACCTTTCATGCTTACTTAGTATTATCGAGTGAGGCTATTCTAATGTAATCTTGAACTCTCACCGGGAGACTGTTTGGCAAGAGTTATTTGTCTCAAATAACTGAATCTGCTGTTTTTTTTCAAGGAAAAGGATTTGGTAGTATATTTGTTTGACTAAAATATGTCTAAGCTACATATTATATGCTTCATTTCCAAATAGGCTTAATAAGTCTATTGTGCCTACCAAATGGACCGACAGTCCGTTTGTATAGAGTCGACTTAAGTAAACCTGGTGAACTTAAGTGAATCTAGGTGAACCCAATTGCATATACGGAAATGTTGTTTGGATAATTTATAATTATCAAGGCAACTCAGGTGAATGTAGTATATGTTTGTCTGATGAAGGTTAAGCCAGGTGAACATGTTAAAATTATTTATAAAGCAAAATTAACCTCTGATTTGGAAATAGGATGTTCTCTAATCTCCTAAACTGGGTATTATTGGAGGGTTTCTGCAGTTCTTTGAGGTAAACCTAGGTCCTATCTAACGTGGCTTCTGGTCATAAAATGGTAAACATATCAGGTTAACTCATAATTAAACCTACAAGAACATAGTTTAGATGTGGTTAGTAAGTGTGCTAGTTTTATAGCATCTCTGGTGGGACTTGCTTCTTTTTTTTTGGAAGAAACTTGCTTCTTTTTTCTTGATTGTAGGACGATAATGATTAGTGCATATAATGCACATTTCCACCAAAAAATTGATTGCTCGAAGCAGTATTTGTTTGTTAAAGTTGAAAGGATATTGTACACTAATTTTGTTTGATTGTGTAATTATTATTAAAACTTAAGTTATGTAGATAAAATATCTTTGATTAGTTTATTGTAGAATGGCTCCAAAACTTGACATTGCTTGGGAACATGCCACACCATTTGAAGGTAACAGAAAACTTCCACAATGCAATTACTGCCACAAGATCATAGATGGGGTTACACAATTAAAACGACACATTGCACATGCACCTGGGACTGCGGAACCCTGTCCATCAGCTCCAAAAGCAGTTTCACATATGTTGATGAGAAATCTTACAAAGGGCAGAAAACTCAAAGAAACACTTTCTGATGTTTTCGAAATGGAAGGAAATAGGTATATGCAAGCTAAGCTTTGTGGAGATGAGAGTAGTTACATGGATGTTGATTATTCTGGGGATGAGGGATTGACGGAGCTTGAAAAGTTTTACCTTAAACAAGCCATGGAAGAGAGTCGTCAGACAGCTCGTTTTGAGGAAGAGAAAAGGAAAAAATTTGATGCCGCAGTTTATCAAATCTCGTCACCTTCAACTGGTATTTTACATTTCGTTTAGGATTACAACTAAATTAAATGTTTAATCCAATCACTTATATTTTAAATCTTCCATCTTGCTTGTGTAATGCTAGGTAATGATATCGCTGGTCCTTCAAGCAACTCAACTTCCAGAACAAAGCGTGGGCACCCTTCCAGAAGCAGTATGTGTAATATTATAGTAAAGTTGCTAATTTGTAGTTTTTTTTTGCATGTATAACATTATACTCCCTCCGTTCAGCCGGCTACCACTTTTCTTTTACCAAATTAAGTTCGTATTCTCATAGATGACAAGACAAAAATTTAATATGTAAAAGACATTGATACACCACGTTTTGACTTTATAGTAATAAACTAGGGCCTAGGGGCAATATTAGAAAAATCAGAAGCAAAAATTAGCTATCCTTAATGTCTTTTACTCTTTTCTACTTGAATTGAGGACTTCATTGCAGGACTGAGAGAGCAATAAAGTTGATTATTTCTATTTTGTATGTCCACTAATGTAATATTATGTATTGAAAAGGAATGGGATATAACATAGAATCTTTTGTTGTTTGGTCGGAGAGAAAAGTAAGTGAAGCAAGAAAATTCATGGCTCCCGAGCTCCTCACCTGACACACAAAAGATCTCTTGAGAAGTGCAGAGAAAACTTCGAAAAGACACAAAGGAGAGAATGAGATCAATTGCCATTTTAACCGTCATTTTTTTGCCTATATTACCTTATCCATATAAAGCCTAGGATGAATTCTTCTTTAGAAGAAAAATGAACCTTTCTTTTTTTTCCTTTCTTTCCAAACCTTTTCCATGCAAAGTCACTAAAATTCTACTTATTCTCTCTTCAATGGTACTTCTTTCTTTTCTTCCATCTGTTTGTTCAGTCAAAACATAAATCTAAAAGTGTTACCAGAGTAGTTTATTCCCATCATATGATAGCTTTACCAATTCAGTTGCCTATAATATTTTGAGATCTGATGAATTTGTTTCCAATTATTTGTCATCTTGGGACTATAACTGCAATAGTGATGCAAAAGGAAATGGAAACTAAGAGGTCTGTCTTATGTATTAACTTTCTTGTTTGTTCAGCAAAAAAGAAGGCACAAATTGTTGAGATGCAAATTGAGGAATTGGAAAAAGAATTGAATCTCCAAAAACAAAAAGTAAGTGACCTTGAACAAGAAAATCTGCAGTTGAAGAAGCAGATGCTGCATATGCAAGAACTACAGCAGCCTAAAATGCCTGAAGAAAAGAATCTCGGTGTCCATGAACTTGAAGCCTTGCTTTTTCAGAAGGAAACGGTAATGCTATTTCATTGCATTTTGTGCTTGGTAATTCCATTAAGGGCAAGGTTTATGGAACTTTGTTTGTTTCGTTGCTCACTCCTAATGTTATTTATGTGCAATTATTAATAAGTATTTGTGGTTGCAATTTGCCAAGAACAGGGACTAGTGCTTTCTTACTCTGTTTCATGGTACCTTATAAATGAAGTTATTCTAAATAAATTATTCCATTCCTATTGTCTGAGACAATGACATATTCAGAAATTATTCTGAAGGGGTACAGTTACAGTATAGTATTATACTTTAATATCTATATATAGCTACAGTTTTCCATCATTTTCAATGGAGCCAAAGACTCACTATTTTTTGGCTTGGGAATATGATGGAATAAAGAAAAGTGGCTCACTAAACTGTCTGCGCTTCTTTGATATGAAGTAACAGCCAGTCTATGCAATTTTCGACGCGATTTTCACTTGGGTCATTCGGAAACAGTCTCTTTGTGCTTTTAGTACAGGGGTAAGACTGCGTACATCCGACCCCCCCCTACCCCACCGTAGGTGGGAGCCTTTGCGGCACTGGGGTAATGATGATAATGATGATGATGATAATGATGATCTATATATAGCTACAATATACTAATATCAGAGGGCCTTTGTGTACAATTTTAAGTTTTAGTAAGAATTATTATGTACAATGCTTACGAATTTACATGTAAGATAGCGTTTTTTTCAACCACAGCGCTAATATATAACCAAAATTTCATGTGTACAATTACTATTGCTTCAGTTCAAGACTTAAAAAGTTAACTCAGTTTATAGGATATTAACATAATCTGACTTGGTTCTCAGTTCTCACATCATATAAAAAAATAATATATTGTAAAATGAATTTAATATTTGGAATTTCAGCTCGTAATTTTTACTCCGCAATATAATACTCCTTCTGTCACTACATTAACCAACAATTTGTCTGGCACGGTGATCAAGTGAAGAAAAACCGTGTGGTTGAAACCTATGTAGAGGAGAAAGAAATAATCTGAAGAGTGAACCACATAATTTTTTACTTGAAAGGAAACGAAGGATGATTTTGGGACAGAATGAAAAAGATAGGGTCAAAGGGGCAAAATTTTAAAAATCTTCATGTTTTAATTTATACTCTGTATTTTCGAAGTGTTCAGGTTCAGGTTAATATTTTTTCAATTCAGTCCTGAATTGGTAGTTGACTGATGAAACTCTTTCGTTTAATGACGATTGCATGATAGATTGAAGCCATATATTCGAGTTTTATTTGTTAGTTGATAATTGAAAATCCATGCTTTCTAATCTTTGACCATCTTATGGTGTGCCATTGATGGTTGAATGCATTGCACACTGGCAAGTTAGTGCTAGCTGATTGACATAGTTGTTAGTTTTGAGTGCTTTTGCATGCATTCATGCATATAACAGGGACATAATTTTTGTTAAAGTTGAAGTCCTATTTTGTTACCGGTATTCTATTAATCCACTTTTCAGTTTTTTTTTTCAATCTATATGGCATTTCAATTTATATTTAATACCATATTAAGTTCAGGAGATCAATGAATTGAAAGAAAAACTAGCTGAGAAAGATGATGAACTTCATGATGCGGAAGATTTAAACCAGACTCTCATGCTCAAGGAGCGGATGAGTAACACTGAACTGCAAGAAGCTCGCAGGGAATTGATCAATGTAAGTATTTTTATATGTAAAATTTGTCTTAGCTCACCTATAGTGAATCTTCAAGATGTAAAGTTCACTTCACTTTTATATACTAGTCTAGACTCGAACTCTCAAACATAGTAGACAATCAGTAAGAGATGCACTGGACTAGGCTCACACACAATAGAAATCGATAAGAGATACTCAACAGGTTGCCCCAAACCATCCAGTGGGTAGACACCTCACTAACCACCACGGGACCCTTTTTATACCACTTTAAGCTGGGCCTCACTCCCTAAAAGATTCTAAAAAGGTGAAGACGTGAAATTCACATGGATAATTGGCTTGAATCAGTAAACCTCTGACATAGAATGCTCAACAGTCAATACCATACACAATTTCAGCAGGTCACATGAAGCCATGTATTAATAAAACAATCAAAATCAATTATTACTAAGTCCATTCAATACAAGGCTGCATCTGTTTGGAGGGGAGAAAATAAATTGCCACAAAGAGCAGCATTGTAGATTAGTTAGTTTTTCTTAAACCAGATGCTTTCAAGCAGGTTTGGCCTGACCTTATGAGTACACCAAAAGTTGTGATAAAGAGGATGGGTGAGATCGACCAGACACCTTTTCAAAATGTCTGCATACGTAGATTTGGTAAGCATGATTGGGAGGTGAAAGCTACCAAACTGAGCTCTTGGTGGCAGGAGATGGTGAACAATCCGAACTGGCACCCTTTCAAAACAATAGAGAAAGATGGAAAATTGCAGGTATGTTTCTTCTTCTTTTCCTTTTCTTCTCTTCATTGGCTTCCCTGCGAGAGTAGCTTGCCTTGGACTTTAATTTAGATGGACTAGCTGTATGTAGCAGAGAGCACCACATCAAGACAGACTATATAAAAAAATATAAAGTTATTGAGGACCCTCAGGGATGGGGGTTTAGGAGGGCATCCTGTTTTTTTTTTTTTTTTTTTTTTTTTTTTTTGTAAAATAAGTTTGGTATAAAATTGGAATATGCACCCCTCTTCATAAAAAACTCATTTTATGTCTCATTTCTATTTGAAGAAATGAAGACTCTTCAGTTCCATTCTCATGTATGAGTGCCGGGCACTGCCATCATGACAAGCACAAACAGGTTGTGGAAAGGATATATATTGTATGTAGGGCTGGCATTTCGAACCGAAAAACCGAATACTGAACTGAAAATTACGAACCGCTTTAGAAAAAACCCGAACCGGACCAAACCGAATGAAATTGGGATCCAATAATCGGGACCCGAAAAAAATTTGGTTCGGATTCGGTTTATGTGCACAAAATATCGGTTTGGACCGAACCGAACCGAACCGAACCAACATATTTATATTATTAATAATAATTTTTATTTATAATAATAATAAAAATTAATGAGGTTTATTAAAGTATTGTAGGTTTGAAGAATTAATCTTCCTCGTATTATTGAGCCATCCGGCAATGATATATATACAAGATTACAGATAAACTAAGGTTTGTTACAGATCCTAAATATTAGGATCTATCTATTCTTATCTACACTGCGAGCTAATCTAAGAGTTAGAGCCCCAAATCAACTCTAATTCCTATCTACACAGTTCCGGATGTACACATAATAAAATAACATGTATATGCTACATTTTTCTACACTCCCCCTCAAGTTGGTAAGTATATATCATACATTCCCAACTTGCTTATAAGAAATTCAAACACTGGTTTAAACAGCCCCTTTGTAAAGATATCAGCTGTCTGCTCTTTAGTAGATATGAATGGTGTGCACACAATTCCAGCTTCAATCTTCTCTTTGATAAAATGCCTGTCCACCTCAATGTGTTTAGTACGATCATGTAGCACAGGATTGTGAGCAATATTAATGGCTGCTTTATTGTCACAATATAACTTCATAGGTAGGTCCATTTCCATATTCAACTCTGTCATCATTCTCTTGATCCAAAGTAGTTCACAGATTCCATTAGCCATAGATCTAAATTCAGATTCTGCACTACTTCTGGCAACAACATTCTGCTTCTTACTCCTCCAAGTCACCAGATTCCCCCATACATAAGTACAATACCCAGATGTAGACCTTCTATCAGTTATTGAACCAGCATAATCTGCATCTGTAAAGGCTTCTACACTTCTATTGTTACTTCTTTTAAAAAATAATCCTTTCCCTGGACAGCTTTTCAAATATCTTAGGATCCTGTAGGTAGCATCTAGATGTTCTTGGAATGGATTATGCATGAACTGACTAACCATACTGACTGCAAAGGCAATATCTGGCCTTGTATGTGCCAGATAAATCAACCTTCCCACCAATCTTTGATATTGGTGAATATTAACTGGTACTCCTTCCTTGACATTTCCTAACTTTTGATTAGGGTCAATTGGAGTATCTATTGGTCTGCAGGCACTCATACCTGTTTCATGAAGTAGGTCTAGTACATACTTCCTTTGGGATACCACAATTCCCTTCTTTGATCTGGCTATCTCCATGCCAAGAAAATACTTCAATTCTCCCAGGTCTTTGATTTCAAATTCCTGAGCAAGCTTCTTCTTCAGGTCTTCAATCTCTTCACAATAGTTTCCTGTAAGAATTATATCATCCACATAAACAATTAGTACTGCAATTTCTCCCTTAATGGAGAATTTCATGAATAGTGTATGGTCTGCTTGGGCTTGCTTGAATCCCTGCTTCTTTATGAATTGAGTAAACCTTTCAAACCAAGCCCTTGGGGACTGTTTAAGCCCATATAAGGCTTTCTCTAGCTTGCACACCTTTGAGCCATATTGTTCCTCAAACCCAGGAGGGGGGCTCATGTATACTTCCTCTTCAAGCTTCCCATTTAGGAAAGCATTCTTCACATCTAACTGTTGAAGAGGCCAGTCTAGGTTAGTAGCTAGAGATAGTAGGATCCTTATAGTATTTAATTTTGCAACTGGTGCAAAAGTTTCTGTATAATCTATGCCATAGGTTTGTGTGTATCCTTTGGCAACCAATCTGGCCTTATATCTTTCAAGTGTACCATCTGCCTTGAATTTAGGGGTAAACACCCATTTGCATCCAACCCTTGGTTTGTTTTTGGGTACCTCTACAGTCTGCCATGTCTGATTCTTTTCAAGGGCATTCATTTCTTCTAAAACAGCCTTCTTCCACTCAGGTATAGATAGGGCTTCCTGTATGGTTAAGGGAATAGAAACAGTGGAAAGGCTAGAGGTAAAGGCTGCAAATGATGTAGATAACTGAGAATAGGACAGATAGTTTGAGATAGGGTATTTAACACATGACCTTTTTTCTTTTCTGAGAGCAATGGGTAGATTTAGATCACTGAAATTATTACCTTTGTCATTTTCTGGCATTGAGTCAGATTCATGGACAGTGGCAGGATCAGGGATGTCCTCTATTCTGTGATTTGGAACTCTCCTTTCATAAACCTTGCCAAAAAACTTACTTGTCTGCTGTTCATCATCTTTCCTTGTTTCAGAAACATTTTTTTCATTTTCTTTTGACTCTTGACTATTTTCTAGTGCATCTAACTGTCTATTATACTGTGCATCTAGATTAATGTCAAGAGGTTCTAGTTTTTCATGGATATTTGATACATTATTACCATCTTCATTAGGAATCTCCCCCTGAAGATGAGTATCAAAAAAAGGTTGATCTTCTACAAAAACAGTGTTCATAGTTATAAACATCTTTTTTGTTATAGGGTCAAAACATTTATAGCCTTTCTGAGTTGAAGAGAGTCCTAAGAAAACACATTTTTTCCCTCTAGGGTCAAATTTACTTGCAGTTCTGTCAGGATTGGTAATAAAAACTGTGCACCCAAAAATTTTTATGGGAAGAGAATTAATTAGTCTAGTTTCAGGAAAACAAGCTTGAAGAGTATCAATAGGAGTTTTGAATCCTAGAGTTTTTGATGGCATCCTATTAATTAGATAGGTAGCATGTAAAACAGCTTCTCCCCATAAATATTTTGGAATTTTAGCAGAAAACATAATTGCACGAGTGACTTCAAGTAAATGTCTATTTTTCCTCTCAGCTATTCCATTCTGAGCAGGTGTATTTACACAGGAACTTTGATGAATAATCCCTTTTTCAGCAAAAAAAGTATTTAACTTCTTAGAAAAGTACTCAAGTCCATTATCACTTCTCACAATTTTGATATTAGTGTTGAATTGAGTTTGGATCATTGAGTAAAATTGTTTGAACACCTCTTCAATCTCAGATTTTTCTTTAAGTAAAAACACCCAAGTGACCCTTGTGTGATCATCTATGATAGTTACAAACCACCTTTTTCCTTTCAGAGTTGAAACTCTAGATGCACCCCAGATATCACTGTGTACAATAGTGAAAGGACTAGTTGGTTTGTAACTATGAGGGATGTAAGAACTCCTATGATGTTTGGCAAGTGCACACATATCACAATGAAATGATGAAGGATTTTTATTAAGAAATAACTTAGGAAACAACATTTTCAGATAGGAAAAACTTGGGTGACCTAATCTATAGTGCATTAAATACACTTCATTGTTACAAGGAAAGAAAACAGTTTGCAAACAAGTTTTTTCTTGACCTTGTTTATTCAATTGTGTTCCTTCATCAAAAGTATAGAGGCCATCCTCCTCTCTAGCACTGCCAATCATCTTCCCTGATGCCAGATCCTGAAAAATGCAATAAGAGGGGAAAAATTTTACACAACACTGAAGATCTTTAGTAATTTTGCTAATAGAGATAAGATTGCAGGAAAGTTTAGGAACATGTAAGACTTTGGAAAGGTTAATGGATGAGGAAATTTTAATATTTCCCCTCCCTGCTATGGCTGAAAAAGAGCCATCTGCAACTCTAACTTTCTTATCTCCTGCACAAGGTTGATAAGAAGAAAAAAACTTTGGAATGTAGGTCATGTGGTCTGTTGCACCTGAGTCAATGACCCAGGTGTTTTTAGGTTTTTCAGAACAAAAATATGATGTTATTTTACCATTTTGGGCAAAAGAACAGGTAGGGTTTTCTTGGTTGGAGATTTTCTGGGTGGGTATGAATTTGAGTAGGTACTCTATCTGTTCCTGAGTGAATGGTAGCTGTTTAGGTTCAACTCCTGCCTCTTGTTGAGTCTCAGTCACAGTAGTTTGTAGGGCCCTTTCTACTTTCTTCTTCCCAGCTCCTGGTGGTTTTCCATGGAGTTTCCAGCATGTATCCCTTGTGTGCCACAGTTTCTTGCAGTGATCACACCAAGGTTTTTTCCTGTTGTCATCACTTCTGGCCACCAAAGCTGAAGATTCCCCAGGTTCCTCATTAGGTACTGGAGTGTTGTACATGACCTTCTTCCTGCTATCCTCCATCCTGATTTCAGAAAATACCTCCCTGATAGAGGGTAGAGGTTTTTTTCCAAGTATCCTCCCCTTAACTTCATCTAGGTCCCTATTGATCCCTGCTAGAAACATATAGACCCTATCATTCTCTTCTTTTTTCTTATGTCTGGCCAGACCCTTAGCACTCTCCCACTCTTCATCATCATAGCATTGATCTAATTCTTGCCACAGAGATACCATTTCACTGTAGTATGAAATAATATCCCTATTTCCTTGTTTAGATTGCCACAGTTTGGTTTTGAATTCAAAAATTTGAGAAGAGTTCTCAAGACCTGAATAAGTTTCCTTAATAGAATCCCATACCTCCTTTGCAGTTTTCATAAACATATGAGGTTTGGCAATTAAGGGCTCCATGGAGTTGAGAAGCCAAGTTGTTATGAGTGAATTCTCTGACCTCCATGTACTGTACCCTTCTTCTGCAGGTAGTTTTGGTTGGATTTCTCCTGTGATGTAACCCAGCTTTCCCCTCCCATCAATTGCAAGTCTGACAGATTGAGACCACTCCAGATAGTTTGTTCCATTCAATCTATGACTAGTGATTATCATAGATGAATGAATAGGAGACTGGTAATTTGTCATAGAGCTAATTTGGGAGTTAGGGTTGATAGTGTGTGAGGAATCAGCCTCACTGGTTTCTACCATTGTTTAAACCGAAGCTCTGATACCATGTAGGTTTGAAGAATTAATCTTCCTCGTATTATTGAGCCATCCGGCAATGATATATATACAAGATTACAGATAAACTAAGGTTTGTTACAGATCCTAAATATTAGGATCTATCTATTCTTATCTACACTGTGAGCTAATCTAAGAGTTAGAGCCCCAAATCAACTCTAATTCCTATCTATACAGTTCTGGATGTACACATAATAAAATAACATGTATATGCTACATTTTTCTACAAGTATAATAAAACACGAGTATGATTTGAGCATACTTGATGAGTAGCGGAGTTGGTCAAGTGCAAATCTCTACCGAAGCGTTGTGGGTTCGAATCCCGCATGTGTTTGATTTTTTTGTTTTTTAGAATTTGCCTTCTTTCCTATTCTGTTTTGTCCCACACCGGAAAATGAGTAGCTTCCTACTCCAAAAACTTTATGTAAACCAGGTCTCCTTAGTGTAATAGTCCAGGACACGTTCTAGGCTGCCCTTGGGCTAATGTTGCTCAAATATTGGCAATTTCCAATGGGCCTTAGTCTATTGAATGTTAGTTCAAATTTATTTATTACAATTGAGTTGGTTTCTTTCGGTCTCCGGTAAACCGAACCGAAAAATCGGGTACCAAAAATTGGGACTCGTTCTTGTAACGGTTCGGTTTCGGTTGTGAAAATTTGGTAAACCGAAATATTGGGTCGGTTCGGGGATACACTGAATTGGTTGGGGACCCGAACCAAATCCAGCCCTAATTGTACGTTGTAATCTGAAGTAGGAAACTAGGAACTCAGAGTTGTGATTATCATCTTTGCAAGCCATCTATTCGTCTGAGATATGTTGGTCTTACCTTTCTAAATATCATAATCTTGATTTTATATTCCCCTACATAGTTATTACTTATTAGTTAATCATATATGCAGGAAGTAATAAATGAAGATGATCTAGCCTTGAAAGAACTGAAATACCAATTGGGTGATGCACCATATAAAGCTGTCGTTGCTGCCCTGTTGGACTTAAATGAGTACAACCCAAGCGGGCGATACATAACTCCAGAGCTGTGGAACCTTAATGCTGGAAAAAAAGCTACCTTGCAGGAAGCAGTCCAATGCATGATTCAGCAGTTGAAGAAGTCCTCCCGATATCCCTGTTGATCCATCCCCAGCATCTAACCCAATGTTTTTAACAGATGTGAATATCCATCACGGGTTAGAGTTCAATATCTCCTTTTGCTGTATTTGCCTAAAACTTTTAGCATACACACATATATGAATGTTGTGTGGAGTCCCACTTCAATTTTTCAGTTAGGACTCTATTGTATTCAACATAGGGAGCATTCCTGTATAAATTAATGTGTCCCCCAATTGCCCTATAATGAACACATGAAATTGTTAACCACGCAAAAGCTTTGAAGATTACACCAATTTTAAGTGTGTCACTACTTCTAACCAAGTTCAAATTCATTTAGCCTGCAATCTCAAGCAGTTCAAAAGGTCCCAAAACAAAGATGAACAGTAGAAAGAAAATAGAAAGAACAGAAATATATATGAATGCTTAAATGCGTAAAGGAAACAAAAAATAAAGAAACGAAAAAAGTGTATTGCTTAAATGCCACATCAGTAAATAATTGTTAAGTTACACATTTATAAGAAGTTCCAATGATAAGAGCAGAATTAAATTAATCAACGCTGGTGACCATTGCCCAAGTTTAAAGCTAAAACTCCAATATTATTGATTGATGATTCCAACAGCCCTCCTTAGGGGTTTAAATAACCCTCTAAGTCTAATAAGAATAGGAATTCTAATTAAATCATACTAGGAAACCTCTAAGTCTAATAAGAATAGAAGTCCTAATTAAACCATTCTAGGAAACTAAATAGAATAGGAAACCTCTAATTCTAATAAGAATAGAAGTCCTAATTAAATCATACTTGGCAAGAAAATAAATTAGGGAACATAATAAAATGAATAATTAAAACTATTTAAAATAACTAGAATTGGCCCATGAAGGTGGGCTCAAGCTTGTCTCCGCCTATGGTAGACCAACAAGGGCTTGGGGCTCAGATCCGCTTCCTCCGCCCCACTCCACAACTCTTTTTGCTCTCTATAAACTTTATCCTCCTTCGAATGAACCTTGTCCTCAACGTTGAAATATGGAAACTGGCCCATAAAGCTTTCTTTATTCATCCACGTAGCATCACCACTAGGCTGCCCGGCCCAATTTACCAGTATCCCTTCTTCCTTGCCATTTCTCTTTTTGCTGGCTGGCTAATATCTCGTCAATTTTGAACACCGGACTTACAGGTGGTTCCAAACTTTCCGGCAGCTCACTCTCTACCGAATGATCTCCCACCACTCGCCGCAACTGAGACACATGAAAAACCGGATGGATGCATCTGGTGGACGATAAAGCGAGTCGATAAGCTGTCGACCCAATGCGTGCTTCAATCTGAAATGGCCCATAGAATTTGAATGATAACTTATCGTAAGGCTGGCGGAATATAGTGGACTGTCGATGAGGTTTGACCTTCAAAACTACCTTATCTCCAACATGGAAATCCACTTCGCGATGATGTTAACTAGCTTCAGTTACCATGCGCTGTTGTGCGTTCAGTAAACATTCTTTTAGTTGAGTCAACATAGCATCCCTGCTGCCCAGCACTTCTGCCACAGCAGCCACCTTGCTCTCCCCTCGAATGGTGGGCGGTGGCTGGCCGTACACCACCTCGAATGGTGACGTCTTTGCTGATGTCTGGAATGCAGTGTTATACCAATATTCAGCCCAAGACAACCACCTCATCCATTGCTTTGGCTGCTCACAACGTAAAGCAACACACATATGTCTCTAAAACCCGATTCAACACTTCTGTTTGTCCATTTGTCTCTAGATGATAAGCTGAGTTGAACTTCAACTCTGTTCCTGACAAGGAAAACAACTCCGGTGCCGAACCCACCAAAGTGGTGCTAAACTTATCCAAATCTGCACAAAAAAGCACAACATGCATAATATTTTAAGTATAAATGAATATATTTGAAAGGTATGACTCCGGAAAATTGCTCCATAGTGATCTTGGATCCCAAATGAATTATCCAATAAACTTTTATATTTGGCTTATATATGATTTTAGTCACTGTAAATATGACACACTTGTCTAGCTCCATCATCATCCTCATCATCATCATCACTCCAGTGCCGCAAAGGCTCCCACCCGCGGTGTGGTAAGAGGGGGAGGTCGGATGTACGTAGTCTCACCCCTGTACTAAAGCACAAAGATACTGTTTCCGGATGACCCATAGTGAAAATCGTGCCGAAAATTGCATGGACTGACTGTTGCTTCATGACAAAGAAGTGCAGACAGTTTAATGAGCCATTGTACTTTATTCCATCATATTCTCAAGCCAAAAAAGTGTCTTTGGTTCCATTGCAAATGATAGAATAAACTTGTTCAACTCCATGCAAAACTTTTTTTTTTGTTTTTCATCTCTTTAATATGCACTATTTTATTTTTAGTCCATCTCTTCTCTAACTACGAGACCACTCTACAGGAACAACAACATCTAAGCCTTATTGCCAAGAAATTTTGGGGTCGACTAACTTTTAAACCACTATATTTAGAAAACACTATTGTCGATTGCATTATACTACTAGAAATTTTGAAATCTATCCTTTTATAATTTTTGAGAGCTAAAACAATGTAAAAGCAATTGTTCACATTTTAAAAATATGTATCAACAAATTTACAAACTACAAACTCACCTTGACCATGCGATGAGTTAATCTATAGGCTATGTGCGCTCGGTGACATTTTGGTATATATTATCATCATTACCCCAATGCCGCAAAGGCTCCCACCTACGGTGCGGTAAGTGGGGGTCGGATGTACGCAATATTACCCTTGTATTGAAGCACAGAGAGACTATTTTCGGATGACTCATAGTGAAAATCGCGTCGAAAATTACATGGACTGACTGTTGCTTTATAACAAAGAAGCGCAGACAGTTTAGTGAGTCATTTTGCTTTATTCCACCATATTTCCAAGCCAAAATATAGTAAGTTTATGACTCCATTGAAAATGATGGAAATACACGATGACATTTTGGTAATAAAAATATTTTTTTTTCGGATGCAATACTTTGAACGGTTAATGTGCAACTCGTTATTTCATTGCAGAATAATATGCAACCCTTTGAACGTTAATATGCAATATAAATAGTGTAAAGATAATTTGTACAAATATTTGCACAATAAATTGATTGTACGTGACCCCCCGCCCCAAATATATATACATACACACACACACACACACACACACACACACACATATATATATATATAGATTAAAGATCAAATGAGAACAAGGTTTAACGTGAGAACGTGAGACCACCACAATTACCCCAACATGTTGCACAATGAAGTTTGTATATTGCAATTTTTCGTGATTTCACAATATTTACCAAAATACCACCGTGTTGATTTAATGTAGGCTTAATCGAACAAATTAAAAATGTGCAACATAATAGATCCATTGTGCACCACATTGATTTAAATGTGAGTGTTCTTACCTTCTCACGTTAAGCATCGTTCTCACTGGAACCGTACTATATATATATATATATATATTAAATATTAAATTTTATTAGAATGTTAAAGAAAAGATGGAGGGGTACACAAGGCCTTACCTCAACGTAAAATTACATTTGACGAAAATACGAGAGATTTTCAGAGTCAAGAATTACTGAGCCACAAATAGTCGCTGGAAGTTGGGCTAAATTTTAGTAACAAATAACTTGGGGAGATGCATCTTGGGCCAAGAGGTGGGCCACACTATTAGCCTCTATGTAGCAATGAATGAAGGAAAAGGGCCTGCCTTTCCACGCAAAATGAGCCTCACAGTTTCAGATGAATCTGATTCGACTTGTACGTGGGAATCACAATCTGCAGCGCAGAGTTTTAATGCTTTAACAATTGCCATGAGTTATGCCTCAAGTATTGAGCTGCCAGAGGATGGAAAAGACCATGCCTTGATCATTGCTCCTCTATTGTTCCTAAGAATGGCACCACCGGATGTTCCCCCGTTGCTGTTACCTGATTCAACATTAAGCTTAGAGAGAGTTAACAGGTTTTTGCCACGGGAGAACCTCTTATGACCAGTACGGTGAAGAAAAAGTGCAATTATTCGCACTTTGCACGGAAGAACCTCTTTTTATTTGATCTCTTCCCTATATATATATTATTCGCACCGTGCAAAGTGCGAATAATTGCACTTTTTCTTCACCGCGTTGCACTTTTGCGTGTTTCTGTTGCACTTGTTCGCGATGGCAAAAAACTTCGTTTTAATTATGAAATTGTCACCGCATTTTTGATAAAATTTAGTTCACTTTTGGCTCATTTTGAGCCATTAGATATCGAAATGAACACATGAGATTAATTCTCACTTTGCATGGAAAGACCTCTTTGTATTTGAACTCTCCCATATATATATATATATATATATATATATATATATATATATATATATATATATATATATATATATATATATATATATATATATATATATATTGTTGTTGTTGACACAACTAGATGATGGTGTATAGTTCTATATCTTAGAATTAATGCATATTTTACGTAACATATTTACTATTAACCGTACTGATCATAAGGGTTAGGGGTGGACTCGAGTCCGAGCCGGGTCCGGGTCGGGCCTAGGCCCGGACGGGCCGGCGGTTCAAGAATGGTGGACCCGGGACCGGCCCGGGTAGCCACCGGGTCCGGGCCTCTGGTTTGGATTTTTTTTTCCCTTTTTGCTTTCCTAACCCCCCCCCCTCACCCCCACCCTCCCAAACCCCCCCAAACCCATCCTAGCCATCAAGCCCAACCCGGGTGGAACCCCAAAAATGAAAAAAAATAAAAAAAATTCAATTTGGCCCGGGCCCGGGCCCGATCCGGCCGGGCCGGTTCACCAAAATTGAGACCCGAGCCCGGACCCGCCCTACCCCCCGGGCCTAGGCCCGACCCGAGAACCGGGCCGGTCCCGGTCCCGCACAGTAGCGGGCCGGGCCGGTCCACGGGCCGGGTGGCCCGACCCGAGTCCAAGCCTAATAAGGGTTATGGCCTGAACTTTCATAAGTTTTCAAAGATGAAATTGTAATTGTTAGCATGTTGGCAAATGTCAATGGCCACCAAAAGAAAGTCAAAGATGATCACTAAAAATGTTGGATTATAGTTTAGTTTCTATGAATAGACAACAATAAATGATAAAGTTTGAAACGAAAGAGGAATTTGAAGTAATGTCCAAGTTTAGTAAATATATGCAACACAATATCAAATGTTGTTGAAAAAAGCATATCAAGAAAATACGTATAAAAATGGTATTATGCTCTAGTAACGTGAAGCGACATCAACGTTTAAATGATTA